ACCAAGTGGACCAAGGATCCGCCCTCGCGCCGACGCGGTCGCTCGTCACACATGAGGCAGCTGCGCCATGACTGCAAGCACGTCATGTGGGCGCTTCGGCATGGCACGCCGCCTGCAGTCTCGAATCTGCAAAATGGCCTGTCGTGCCAAGAAACGCGTGGAACGTTACTGGTGATTGGCTGAAATGATTAGATTTAATGGACTTGGATTGGCCAAAAGTAAACCAGCCATTGTGGTTGGCTGAAATGTCGAAGGCGGCCTTCAACACTACGAGGCCATTATTCTTGGCGTTTGCCATAAACACCATCAATAGCCACATTTTGGGTTGGCGCACGGTCCCCGCCTCGAGCGATCGACCAAACCGCTTTCGAAAATGAAATCGCCCATACTCGCCACAGTACTCGCCACCACTTTGGAGAGTACGGAAAGCTAAATAGCGTCGCCGTGCGAGTTCTGTAGCGCGAGCAATGAACGATCACAATTTCAGCAGCTTTATTTTAGCACCGAAATAATGTATGGGGTTCAAATAGAGCCATGTCGCGCGCACTCTGCTTTCCTCGGCCACATGCAGCACACTACTGAACACGATTAACAAGAGATGACGTCCTCAGTATCCGCGATTTCAGCGCATTCTTCACCAAAATTTCAAGTCGTATTTTGTTAAAATCGACGCTCGGCAGTTCCAGTTTGGTGTGAGCGCCCAAGCAACGAAGCAGTCCAACAAACGGGTCGCACATCGGGTCAAGATCCATAGCCAACTGTGGCAGCCAGAATTGGGGTTCTTGGAGCTCTCCAACCCCTCGATGTCATGTGGAGTAGTAGGACATTCATCGCGCGGCCTCAAAAAATGAAAAATAGAGTTCCGCGTGATAGCGCCGCGTTTGGCGCTGGAAACGACACGAACATCATTGAACAACTTTGTGGCGAGGTAGACACCGTTGCTATGGGGGGTTGGAGGTGCCACTTTGGCTTGCCCCAATGTGCCGTATATAGCCATTGATTCGGCATGCATAGGTGGCATATGCCACCTTACCGCAGCATACAATTTGCGTATCATAAAAAGGGTTTCCGCAAAATAATGCTGACTCCATTTTTAGCCAATCCGCGAGGGGATGAGATACCACCGCATTGCGGCCGACGCCGCTTGCGTCGGCAATCGCGTCGGAAAATGAAATCGCCAGAGCTTAGGCAGAGGATAGAAGACGCTTTGAGGAGCGCGTAGCGCCATGTCTGGTCGTCGTGCGAAGGCTACAGCCCGAGGAATCGACTGTTTATTTAAATATGGTACGCGCCACATGCTACCACAAATAACCACATGTTGTCGCAGCTTCTCATCCGAGAATTCCATAAACGGCCGCCGCCTTGCCACTTGGCCACGCCGCGATGGACCGTCCGATCGCATCGCTGCAGCCCGACTGCGCGCGCCTCATCCTGCGCTACATGGACGCGCCCGAGACGGTAGTAGGCTTCTTGCGCACGCTGGCACCGCACAGCCTCGACGCGACGCTGGCCGCCCTCGTCGAGCTCGTCGGCTTCCTGCCGCTGCGCGACGTCTGGCCCGCGCTGCACCTGCGCACGTTTATGCTGCCGCGCACGCTCGATCGCGTCGTGGGCGCGCTGCCGCTCTACGATACAGTGCACGTGTACGACCGCCGCCACGTACACGCCTTTGACGCGCGCCGCCTGGTACTGCACCCGTCGCTGGAGCCAAGCACCGCGTGGCCGCCACTGGAGGCTGCCGCCACCTCCATCGTAGGGCTCGAATGCAACGCCAACACATCAACGCCGATGACGTTTGAGCTCGTGCTCGGGGCGCTCGCCACCTGCCCGCGACTCGTCTCGCTGCACTTGCAAATCACGACGGCGCAGTCCGACGGCGTCCGCGCCCTGCTCGCCGGGCTTCCTACGACGCCGCTCTTGTCGGACGTTCGTCTGCACAAGCTTGAAGCCAGCGAGGTGCAGCTGCTTCCGGACACGAGCGTACAGCATGTGGCGTCGTGGCTTGGATCTCGGCACGTGACGCGGCTCGAGCTACGGTCGATCGACGCTGAGTCGCCTGCCGCCGCCGCCACGTTGAGCGAGGCACTGCTTGCGTCAGCCACAATCAAGACGCTGGCGCTGGTCAACACGGCGACATTTGCGCAAGCGCTACTCGCGGCGAACGGTCCGCTGCCGACGACGCTGCGTCATCTCGAGCTCGGGTCCAATCAGCTGCCCGTATCGCCGACGCCGCGCTTCCAGCTCCTGCACGACACGGTGTTAACGTCACTCGACTTGAACGGGACGTACTTGGACCACGATGGACTGCAAGCGCTCGCAGCGCTGCTCTTCTCGCTGCGCCATCTCGAGGCGCTTGACCTCTCAGCCGTGCTGCCGCACTCTGGCCGCATGGACACGGCATACCTCGCTCATGACAACCGTCAATCGCAGCTCCTCGCCGAGATCCTACGGCATTTGCCGCAACTCACGACCCTGCGTTTGGCCCGAAACGGCGTCCAGGACGCCGACATGGCGCTGCTTGTGCCGGCACTGCCGCGCTGCCTCGGCGTCTTGGACGTGAGCGCCAACCAAATCAAGAACGCTGGGCTTGCGCTCCTGCGAGCGGACGCAATGCCGCGGCTGCGTGTCCTGCATCTCAAGAGCAATGCGTTTAGCAACGAAGGCGCGCGGCGGTTTAGCCAACGACTGTCGCAGTGGTCGTCGCTCACGGAGCTGAGCTTTCTTGGCCGCGACATGGACATGTACGGCATCACTATGCTGCTGACGGCGCTGAGCACCTGTTCGCAGCCGCTAATGCGCCTCGACGTGGGCGGCTCGTGCTGCCGACGCGCCAACGACACGACCAAGATCTCGGAGGCTGCGCGGAGACTCGGCCTCATCGATCGCAAACCCGTGTTTTGCAAGCGCCTGCGAACCGAGCGACTGGCGTTTTCGTACTGATCGTGTTGATTTCACCTCATTCGTGGTGTGTAATTGTTGTTGAATATTGTCATCTCTAAGCTCCCAACCACACAGACATTGCCCGGTGGTTGCACTCCCATCTGGATCGGCTTCGCACGCAGCGCCGGCAGTCTTCTGAAGCCAGCTCGGGCTTTGAGATGTCGGCCGCGTTCTTGCAGCTGGAGCTAAGTGTTTCTTTCTCATATCGTGTCACTACTCGCAGTGCCCTTTGTAAACGAATTCAACACAATTGTTCGAGCGCTTATGGGGCATAATGATCGGCAATGAGATCCTCAGCATGGAATTAGGCTCGTCGATTGCGTAAAAGGCGGTTAGGGTAAGGAGAATGGAGCTAAACGTGGTCTTCCCCATTATAGGTTATATTTTATAGGCTAGCTAGCGTGCTCATAAACTTGTATGATCGCGTTATCTTCACCACAACGACTTTCATGTTGATACAAGTCATTCCATCATGTATCGGCTTTTGGAGAGCAAAGCGTCGAGCTGTGCGTCGATGTCGTCGAGGTCGGTCGTGGCAGGCGCGACCTTGCCACTGGCCTTGAGCTCGATCGCACTGCGCGTGGCGCGCAATGACGTGGCGTCTTTCGGTGCCGGCACGTCGACGACGAGCTCGTGCACGAACGGCGTCTCGGCAAAGATCGGGTTGATCGTTCGGTGGCGGTCAATGAACACGAGCTGGCGCCGCGGCACGCCGGCCATTTTCTCAAACGAGAGCACCATCTCGGCGTACGCGAGGAGGCCGCGCGTCCGGGCCGTATCGCATTTGCGGTCGTCCACCGTCTTGTTCATCATCGCAAGCAGCAAGTTGAGGAGCACCATGGTCACGATCGCGCAGTGAACCATGCGCAGTGAGATGCCAAAGATGTGCAAACTCAGCGGCAGGTCGAGTTCGCGGACGACGTTGGTGATGTTCCGGACCGTTTGGTTGGCGGTGTGAAGCGCGGAAAAAGCCGCTTCGTCCGTCTCGCCAAACAGAATAAAGTACGATTTGTAAAACGTTGTCCACATGTCGGGGATCTCTGCGTTGTTGGTGCACTGGTAGACGAGGTAGTAGGCGCCCGTGAGCCCCAGTTCAAAGACCCCAAAGAATGCGAAAAAGTTGGCCACGTCGCCCAAGACACTCCGGAGCGTCACGACCAAATAGCCGGCGGTCGCGTGCACTTGGAAGAAGCGCGCCACTTGGAGCCAGAGACTGAGGAAAATGAGCACCCCCGAGTAGACGTACGCGACGTACGCAGCGTCTGCGCCGTCCTCTAATTCGTCGATCGGCGTCGCTTCAATGTCAAACACCGAGACGAACCCGCTCGGGACGTGCAGGAAGAGAATGAGAAAGCACGTGCTGAGCCGGAAGAGGTTCATGAACGAGCCAAAGTACGGACGGAACCGGACGCGGCACGGCGTGCAGAGGGGCAAAACCAAGTAGACAAAGAGCCACGTTCGCACGTACTGACTGCGCGACGTCGCCAGGCGAAAGTGCTTCGGGAGGTCTCGGTCGTAGCTCAACACGACGCCGTACTCGACGCAAAGAAAGTAACCGGCACAGAGCCAGAGCACGATCGCGGGGACCGCCACCATCGCGGTGAAGAGCTTGTTGACGTCGGCATACCGGAGGACTGGCGCCGCCGTGGCTGCGCTCGCGATAGCCGTTGCAACGAGCACGCACCGCACCAAGTAGCGCTTGGCGGCCGCCTTGTATAGGCTCATGTCGTTGTCGCGGGACTTTGGCAGTTCGGCTTCGTTCGATGGCCAGGTGCCTTGATGCACCCAGAGCGCGAGGCGCCAGAGACGGTCCGGGTGCAAACGTTGAAGCGCAAGGAGGGAGAAGAGGACGAAGTAGCAGCCCGCGATCCAGACAACGGTGAGCGTGCCCATCGAGTAGCCGAAGTCTTTTTGGAGCGCTTCGCGTTCGTTTTGATAGGCGATGTAGCACTGCTTGTTGTTGCGACGGAAGTCGGTAATTGTCGTCTTGTTGAAGCCGCTTTGGTTGTCGAGGCATGCGACGTTGTCCAGCGCGCGCGAGATGGACGACATGTAGTAGTAGTTGGACGCGGTCGCGACGACCATGGCGAACAGCATGAGCGCAAACATGAGCAGCGTCTTGCAGAAGATGCGCTCACCGACAATGTCCCACTTGATGGCGAGGAGCCGGCGGATGACAACGTGTTCGAGGCAGAGCGACCGCGCCTCGGCATTCTCGCAGCGCACGATCTCGTCCAGCGCACTCGTGTCGGCGTCGTCGTTGCCAAACAGCTCGGGCATGCCAGAAAAACGCAATACGTTGGTTGCGTCGTGCTGGTAGCAGTTGTCGAGCATCTCGAGGGCGAGGCGGGGCTCAAGACGCAGCGCGCGGCCAAACAGCACCGGGTCCAGCGCTTTGGCTCGATCGTAGGCAATTTGGAGAGCGCGAATGTGCTCGGCCTTGTACGCGGGACAGGTGGCGCGGAGGAAGGCGTCGTTGCGTAGGAGCGCCTCGCAGTCGTAGCTACGCGACTCGATCGCGTGGTCGAGCGCCGTTTTGTGGTCCCGATCGGTCGCGCTCGGATCGACTTCGGGCTCCAACAGCCGCGCTTGCACCAAGGTGTAGTTGCCTTCCCGGCTTGCTTGGATCAGCGACTGCTCCTCGCCCGAGACGTCGACGCTCATCGAATCGCGACTCGGCGGCGTCATCGCACTCGCGCATTTGCGGTATGGCATGGCAAACGACAAGTGACGAGCGAGAGAGCAACCGCCGTACGTTCTCAGCCCAACAGGATTCTCAACTTCACCGCATCAAGAACCTCAGGAACGCTAGTGGGAGAACGCAATGTTTCGATGGAACCTGCAACGAGCGCAGAAGCGTCAATTCGAGTGCATACCATTTGTCATCCAGACGGCAGCGTTACCGAGGCGGTGAAATGCGGTGGTTACCCGAATGGAGGCGGAGCTTTAGCCGGCAGCCACTCCGTTTCGGTTGCAGTCGGAGAAGAAGCTCGCCATCAGCGCCGCAACGTCGATGCCAGCACGCAGCATTGTTCAAATGACATCGCACCGACCGCAACGCTTGCTTGTCGAGCTCGCCACCGATCGCCAATGGACGGACATCCTCGGCATCCTCGCGTCAAAAGCCAAAGTCCTCGACCTCAACGCCGTCGATGGAAAGGGGCTCACGGCCTTCGCTCGCGCGTGCCGTTGTGGCCAGCGCGACGTCGTCATCGCCTTTCTCAAACAGCCGACCATTGACATCTTTATTGAAGATCGATCCGGTCTCACAGCGCTTGACTGGGCCAAGCGCGAAGGCCACGACGCCTGCGCCCGCCTCGTCGAGAGCGCAGCGTACGCTCAGGTCCACAGCAGCCACGAGCAACCGCTGCAAGCCGACGTCGACGCTCTCCACGGTGTGTTTGACGAGCAGCTTTTCGCCCGCGCCGTCCGCGTCGACGTTCCTTCGGCGCTGCGGATGCTCGATGCCTTTGTGGTCACACCCACGGTCCACAAACATAGGTTTTCGAATCTCCACGTCCTCTATGGCCTCAAAGACGCCAAGACCAGCGCGCTCTACTCGATTTTGAACGCGCAGCGCACGAATCCCCACGGCACGTTCGCGTGTCTGGGTCATGTGGCCGTCCAGCGCGTCCTCGAGATCAAGTGGGCGCTCTTTGGTCAGCGCCGGTACATCCACCAGATCCTCGTCTTTGCACTCGTGCTCATGGCCATGACGGTCTCGGTGGCGACGGCGTATGCGACTGCCAAGATGCCCGAGGTCGCCATCTACAAAGCTGCGTTCGAATCCTGCCGCGGCAACGACACCTTCAACTCGTGTGTCTACGATCGGTTTGAGCTCATGAACTCGACCACCCAAGGGCAGCCTGACCGCGTGGCGCTCAACACGACTCTTTTGGAGCAGCACAACGCGACATACACGACGCTCATGCAGTACTCGGGCATCCAGCTCCAGTTTGTACAAATTGCGTGGGCTCCGTCTATCTGCTTTGTCATCGTTGGCCTCATCTACGCCCAGCAACTGCAGCCGATACGGCTCTGGCAGTGGACCCGCTACGCTCGCGATGGCACGTGGGGGCCGTGCGACCCCAACGTGGAACTGCCACACTGGCCGCAGCTCCAGGCCGCCGCGAAACGCCTCCTCGTGCGCCGTGTACTGCTATGGACGTGCGTCCTCAGCGCCTTCCCGATTGTTTGTGCGGTGACCGCCATCTTGCGGACGACCGAAGCTATTCCACACTGGATCATCCCGAATGGACGCCACGTTTACATCAGCTACACGCTGCCGTGGCTGACCTGGTCAACGGCGACCGTGCTCTGGTGCGGCGTCCTCTACTTTCTTCTGTTGGAATACCGCGAGCTGCGCTCCGAAGACCGGGCGATCGAAGAGCGGCGCGAGAACTCCGAGGGGATCATGTGGGTGCTCTACACCCTCCTTTTGTTTGTTCTGCTGCCGTGGGCGACGCCGTTCTTGCGCCGGTATCGCCGGTACTATGCCTCGGGCTTCAACCTCTTTCAGCTCTGCATCTTTTCGCTCGTGCTCTTGTACGTACCGCTGCACCTCAACTACGCCCACACGAACAAGGCGCCCGACCTCAACGACCCCGTGTACCAAGCCTATATCTGTATTGGCGCGACCGCGACGCTCGGTCTCTGGATGATGTCGACGCAGTTTCTGCAGATCCACCCCACGGGCGGGTACCTCGTGCCGCTTTTGATGGACATTGTGACCGACGTACGTGGCATCGCGCTGCTGTTTAGCGTCGTCCAATTGGGTTTTACGTGTGCGTACTACCTCCTCTTTCGGTGTTTGGCGCCAAAATACGCAACGCTGTACGACTCGTTCTTTGCCTCCTACTTTGTGCTCTACGGTGGTCTCCAGCTCGACGACTTTACTGGCAAGTCGGGTCAATACTTGAGGACGTACACGGTCGGCAACACGACAGCGTCCAAGCTGGTCAACGCCGTGTCGCCGTCGCTCGTGCCGCTGGGCATCGTACTGCGCATGGTTCAAGTCGCCATGTACGTCGTCGTTCTTGCCAACCTCCTCATTGCTATGATGAACAAGACGGTCGAAAAGAAGTGGGACACGACGGAGGCCCGCGCGGCCGTCAGCGCCGCCGAGTGCGTCCTCCGACTTGAACGCACGTCCAAGCAGACACTTGGTGCGCGGCAAGCCATCATGTACATGGACCCACCCACGACGCCCTCTGATCCGATGCGGTGGGTCCGATATTGCTTGGGTTTGCGCCCAGCAGCAGCGAATGTGGTCGTGACGCCGGAATGCCTCCACCCACTCTTTACCGAATACGTCTGGAAGTACGCGCTGCCGCCGCTGGACGCGCTCACCAACGACGACACAGACAAGACACTGGCCAGCACGTCTGTCGATACCGAGCTGCAAACGCGTCTTCGGGACATGCGAACCAAGTTTGATCAATTGGCCAGCACGCTGGCTGCCCACCGTGCATAGTTTATGTCACATAACACTTTAACATTGAGTGCCTTCTCAAGCTCCTGTTGGTGCCCGAAGCAGCTTGCCACGCTGTCGACGCGTGAGCTTCAGGCGTCGGCTTCGACCTTCTCCTCTGAGCGTTCCCAGCCGTCCGTTTTTGCGTGTTCGAAATTTCGTCGAAATTCTATTTTTAGATTGCAGTGCGAAAGCGTTGGCTGGCGACCTCAGGGTACGACAAACTGACAACGTCCTATCTTTAGCGCTGTCGTCCGCAACCGTAGCGGTCGCCGCACCGAGATTTCGCTGAGTTGGCGCCATCTTGCGCCGCCTTCACTGCTAGTGCGCTGCATCCGTTCACTCAGTCCTTCCTCGCGTCCAGTGCTCCGACGAATCTGCGCCACGGATCGAAACAGCAGCCTCGGTAACCAAGCCGGCACAGTGAGCGGTCAAGCGGTGAGCGGTGCGTGTTCTTGCAACGCCCTTCTTTTGCCGACATGCGTTCCAGGCTCGGATCGACGTCATCGGCCGCTGATTGGCTCGACGCCCTGGTCCTATGGGCTGATTGGCTCTTTTTACACTCCGCGAGCCTTTGTCTTGAAGCAACAATACCGTCTTTGAACAACGCGTTCTAGTTCAAGAGCGATTATACACGTCAAGACTAGAATCCCTTCTCACGTTCTATGAAGCGAGCCAACGGTAGCAAACGCGTGGCGCGCAGCTATTTGGCCGAGGCGGTTGAAAAATGATGGTCTCTAAATTTTGGGCAGAGGTCGACACCATGGCAGATGGCGCGCCTTTACACAGCAAAATCCGAGATGCTCGCGACGGCGCCGCTGCCGCTTGGCTACGGCGCGTACACGTTCGTGCTTGGCGTCGACGCGTGCTTCCTTCTCGGTGCGTGGCTCTGGGCTGCCTCGATCCACCCGCTGCCCAAGACGTACCTCTCGGAGATCATCTTTCCTGTCGAGGTACTTTGACGCGACACTTGTACCGTGGACGATCCGCTCTAGCTTCTCGCCCGCGCCTTGGCCTCCACCATGCTCGCAACGCTCTCCTTCCTCGGCTTTTGGGTCTTCATGTGGCTGCCCGACGAGCCGTGGGCGCTGCGTGCGGCCTTTCTGGCCGAGTCAATGACATGGGTAACGTCATCTCGTCGATTGATGCTCAAGGAGATGGATGCGTAGGCCATGTCGACGTGGCTGATTTGGATGGAGCACCGCCGGAGCTTGACGACCTCGACGCTCTTACGCTTCTTCTGGGTGTTTCGCTGGGCGCTCATGACCAAGTCCCTCTACTCGGCGGTGCGCTTGTGTATATATGTGACCTTCTCTCACACGGCATAGATCATGTCGATGACGTCGTGGTGGGACGAGGTCGCGCACGCCAAGCTCGCGCTGCACTGCGTGGTGTACGGTAGCTTTACGTGCCTGGCGGTCTCGAGCTTTTGGGCCCAACGCGACTTGACCAACTTGTCGCCGGAAGTGCTCGCGCTCTCTCGTCAGCGCCTCAAGTCGATCGCGTCGATCCACGCCCACGGTAAGCAGTGGGTCCAGCAGATGTACGGGTCCCTCGACCAGTACCTCCCCCACCGCCCGCGGACGCCGGTTAGAAGAGAACTCGGGTTTTCTTTTGGTGATTGTACGGGCCTGTTAGGTGCACGAGTCGGTGCTGTTTCCGACGCCGACGGACCGCGTCCGCGTCAGCATTCCGTCGTACACGATCACACGCATGTCGTCGTCATCTTTCGTGTCGTACAAGGTCCTCTACTTTGTCAGATTTCAGAATCTGAATGTGGTGGTCCAGATTCTGGTCACGACCGAAGACGAGACGTGGAGCGTGCGCCGACGCTTCAGTGATTTTGTGTTTTTGCGCGACGAGGTAGTGAGCTAATGGCTCGAAAGAAGGCGCTGACGTGGCGTGTAGCTGCCAGAATGCGTCAAACTCGGCCCGCTCTTTCCCGAAAAAACGCTTCTCAAGCAGTTTAACCCCAAGCGCATCGACGCTCGGCGCGTCAAGCTCGAGCGCTACCTCAACGTACACCCTCCAACCTCGATGTGTGCAAAAGCATTCAGATATTTATATGAATCACTAGGCCGTACTCTCCCACCCGCACTTTGACGTGCAAAACTCGCTGGCGGTGTGCGACTTTTTGGAGATGGTACGCTGGCGACATTTGGTCTAGTGTATCGATACAACTGACTAGGAATACGTCGCCGACGAAGCTGTCTACCAAGTCGTGTAGATATTGCACTTGTTGTCGGTGGCGCACCGCGCGATCCTTAATTATTCTTGGGCCGGGGGCCCCACCCCTACCCTAGCCCTTGTCGATTGAAAAGCACTATACAACGTACATCCAGGGATGGGTTATCACAAAAAAAAACTCCACGGTGTCTACACTTGCGTGGACGGCGGTACTGCGGTCTGGACGAGCCGCTTGGGCCGTTCCTCCTTTGTCTCGGCGTGAACATCGAGCATCATGGGACGACGTGTACCTTGCGCAGACCCCGCAGACGCTTCTCCAAAACAATCGCCGAGGCAATGACGGGGAGGAGGAAGAAGCACATGAGGAAGAGGCAGAGCGCGATCGTGAGCAATGCGCCGACAATGTTGGAGCAGACGCTGTCATAGAGAAGGTCGTAGCTCGCATCCAGCCACGCGCAGTCCATGCTGCAGGTCGTCGTGTCGATGGCACCAAGGAGCACGCCCACGACGCCTTTCTGCAGCGGCGCCAACACCGACGTTTGCAGCTGCGTGAGGTTGCCGACGTACGCAGTGGCAAACTCCGCGATCGACGGAATCGACGCGTTCCAGCCGGCCGTGTGCGACCCGCTGCCGCCGCCAAAGTCCGTCTACAACTACGTCTCAGCTGCAGCTCTGAATCTAGAATGGCGTACATCGAGTTGGTCGAGCGCGGTCCGAATCTGCGCCTCGGCTAGGTACGTATCGTACGCTGCCACGTACGTCGCGTAGCAGGCAGCGCTGTTGCACGACTTGCTCATATAACAGCGCGGCGCGTTCGTCGTCGACTCAAAGTAGCAGGCCGACTGGCCGGACGCCTGCAAGGACGCGTGCCCATCAGCCTCCCATGGCCGTGGGAGGTTGTCGAGCGTCAGCTGCGGCGTGTACACCGCGGCTTGTGTGACCAATTCGGCGGGGGACGCAGCCACCCACGCCGACGCGTTGGCCCTACCCCTCGTTAAGGGTCGAGTCGTCGTCTATAGAGAGAGGTACGCATGCAGAGTCTGGCTCAGGTTGGTCACGGCCGTCACCAACGCGGTCAGCGGGAGCGCATGGCTTGCTTGGAGCTCTTGCTCGAGCGGGCAGCTGAACGCAAGCTCTCCTTGAATCCCAAGCGCAGAGAGAAGCGACGTGTTGTGGAAGCACGCATGTAAAATCTCGGACGCTTGCCCTGGCCACACGGACGCTACGTTTGTGTGAGCACTAAGCAACATAGGAATGGGGTGTCGCTTTACTGCTGTTGTCGCGAAGGACGCTCACGTAGTGGCACACGTCGTTGCCGAGCATCGCAAAGATCAAAATGGCCGCCGAGAGCGCAAAGCCGCCAATGCAGATCGTCGCACCCCAAACCCTATTCGTTTGATGTAGACAGTGCTGACATTGAAGTATCGCACCAGGCGCCGTTGAGGACGCGCACGAGGCAGCTTTTCCGAGAACAGTGCCCGGCAACAATGCCCACAAGACCTACACACTCGCATTACGTTGCCGCAAGGACACGCTAGAAAGACCCAGTGCGCACACGGCGACGCCGAGTCCAAAGGCAGCCATGAGCGCAGCCACTTGGGCGATCGAGATGGTCGTGAACGCCGAGTATGCCGTATGCACGCTGGCCTGCGTCGTCGCCGCTTTGGTCTGGACGCTGGCAAGGTACGTATCAGCGCCGTCGAGCGCCGCCTGGATCGTGGTCTGAGATCTACTCACTCCCAACAATAACAGAGGGACAGAGAGATCGCGACTCGCACAGCTGGAGGCTTGAGTACATGGTGTTGACCACGGCTTGCATCGAGGTGTGGCTCTGATTGAAGGCGGCCACTGTCGCGTTGAAGGCTGCAGGAAACGTGTCGCAAAGTGCGGGCGGACAGGTCACGCACACCTACCCCTTTTGAGTGCGACAACTATAGCACATGGAAGCGTACGTCGGAGGAGCCGAGCGAGCACCCGATCGGGTACGGCCCCAGGTTTGCCAAGCTAAACTGCAAATGCGCACGCAGCGTCCAGAGTGTGGTCATGTTGTCATTCATCCACGCACGCGTGCTCGACGGGTTGAGCTCTACACTCAGTTCTTACGCCTTTGCGTTGTCCAGTGTGCGGGCGTACGCTGCTGAATCTCGGCGACTGTCGTGTTTAGCGTCGACGAGACGTGCGCGAGCGGCTTGTCCACGTTGCCTACGCATCGTTTTGCTTCGTTTTCGATGGAAGGGTATGACACGCACGCGTCATCGTCTGGAGGTTGGTGAGGGACATGTCGACGGCCGAGAAGGCGCCGTTGACGCCCTTGGTGATGATTTGGTTTTGCGTAAACGCAAAGACTGCACAGAGCACGACGCCGATCGCAAAGAACCCGTAGACGAGTATCGGCCGCAAGCGCTCGGCCCGCGTGTAGCTACATCGAGGGTTAGGGTCCAACGAGCTTGTTGTACGTACCCGTGGCGATGGGGGCGAGTGCCGTAGCAGCGGTCGCAGCCGCAGCGCAGAATGAGAAATACGACTGTCACGAGAAGGACAAGCGACGCTAGGAAGACGCCCGGGATCGCGTACGGCACAAACGACTTGGGGTACGCGGTGGTGACCCACGCCGAGGCCGCTCGGAGGTTTGCCTCCGTGTAGTAGGGCGTGCGGTTGACGTTCGGCGGCGGCCAGTAGCAGTTGGCCGCCCGCTCGCAGAGCCCTTGGTCGAAGCAGTTGCCGTCGCCGCCGACGCGAAGGCAAAGCGTGCCATTCAACACCGCACTCGGGTCATCTACACCAAGCTCTCGTCATGCTTGGATAATCAGGCTCCGATCTCAGTACCGCGTGCAACGCAGCGCTGCTTGTCGCTGACCGAGAGCATGGTGTCGCAGGCGTAGATCGCGATCGCTTGAAGCGAGTTGCGGAACCAAGTGTCGCTGTGGCCGCGGACGCTGTCGACGCGCTCAAAGGCCGCGGTCGTCGCGCCTTGGGTTGAGACGGCGTCTTGGGCAAAGCTCATGAGCGACGTCGACTACATCATCCAATCAGAGATCGCAACAGAAGGGTCATTTCGTACGGTCGTGGCCGGCGTGAGCGTCGAGGACGTGGCAAATGCATCATTCTGCGTCGTCAGCGTCAGGCACGTGGCGCTGCCGGGCAAGAGCTCGCTCGCGCTGCAGCTCGTCATGCCAACGACTGCGAGCGAAAGTGCAGTCTATTTCGAGCAATGTTGCTATTCTTGATACAGCGCAACGACCACATCCCAAGCGCGTAGCCCCCAAGCTGTCACCTCCATGTAGAGCGACCCTCTTGTAGAAGCGTGAGCTCGGTGCAGCAGACCTCTGCTTGCGCTCACAGCGTTGAACGCGCCAAAAAGGTGGTCGCGCCTGTATACCAGCACGTGCTCGCAATCAGACGGCGCCGACAAGATGCGCCGCAGCTGCAGCGCACGCGATGAGCGGAGGAGGAGCTGCGATCACTGTGAAATCGGCGCCCCTCATTGGCCGCCGGCAGAAAAGTGATAGCCGACAGCGTGATATCTTATCGCCGACATCCGACCGTGGGATCCAACGGCGGCCGGGCTTCGTCGACTCCACTTTTCATTTGGCACGAGCAGCAGCAACAACACCATGGGCAACATTGCGTCGAACAACGGGCCGCTCGTCAAGTACGAGATCGCCGGTCCGCACGGCATCTGCTACCTCCAGGTCGAGAAGGACCTCTGCCGCACAGCTCTCAAGGACAACCGCCTTGAGATTGACTTTGAGTTTCCCGACACGTACATCTGCCTCGGCACGAGCAGCACCATGGACGCGCTCGCGTGCGCCGACATCAAGAAGGCCACATGGGTGCCGTCCAAGACGCACAACTAGAGATCTCGTATACTGTATGGCATACTTTGATTGAATGTAACGTATCTTGACGCTTTCCACGTGGCGCGCTGTGGCGCCGTTTCGACTTTGCCCTTTTGCCATGCAGCGACTGCTACTCGTATGCAAATGCAGATTTAGGTATATAGAATCGTGCACGTGTCTACTAGCCTTATGACGCAGGCGTCCTAGTCGTCGTCTTCCGAGTCCGAGAGCGTCATCCGGATCTTGGGCACTTGCTCCGACTCCGAGTCGGAAGCGTCCGACCTACTATGTGCATGAGACAAACGACGCAAGAGGGAGGAAGTGTACCCTTCGTCGCTCGAGCTCGAACTCTCCGAGCTGGCCTCGTCTGGCGCGTCATCGAGCCGCGGCTTCTTATCGACGTGACTAGGTGTCTTTTCTTCGAGCTTGGCACGGAGCTGCTCCATGTACAAGGGCGGGATCGGCTGCTCGAGGATGGCCTTGAGGATGTGGCCGGGCACCTCGATGCCATGCTCCTACAGCGCACGAGTCAAGCCACCGAACGATCTTGGTTTGGCTTCAGCACCGCAAAGACAGACGGGCCGCGAAGGCGCACGAGCGCTTCGGCGGGCAAGTCGATCGGATCACTACATCAACCAGTGAGAGAGCTATAGCTACGAAGACAATATTGGACCCTGGCTTCCACCCCGGCGGAATGAGTTTACTAATCTCCTCGTCCGAGATACCGAGGCCGATGCGGACGTCGCCGACCGCCGATGGCACGCCGGCCGACGACGCGTCCAGTGACCGCTTTGTGGACGTGTACGACGAGGTCTCCTTGGTCACGATCGAGTCGATAACTAGCATTCGCAGATAAGAAGGACCGAGGTGAGGTGCAAGGCGCCTACGGCCGCGACTGAGAACGCCTGCGCGCATCATCTCGGGCGTCGGCGCTGGCGGCATGAAGCCAAACATCGGGTACTACACCATGCATGAGCTCGCTGGAATGCTATCAAATGGACGTACCCCTGGCTGCCAGCCCGCGGGCGCGCTCGACGTCGATGCGACCTTGTGGGCGTAGGCAATGATGTCCTGGGGCTTCATGTGGGACGTTGTCGACGACGCCTTGGCGTTCGAGAGCACTCGGCGGTGCTTGAGCAGCACGTTGGAGATGGCCTTTTGCCTATACGCGTATGAGCAAACTGCGTCGACGAGCGGCCACGGACCCGCCTCGGAGCTCGCGGGCGTACTGCACGATCTTGGCTTCTTTTTCTGCGATCTGCGCCTTGAGGTTCTCGAGATCCTTCTGTGCGGCCTGGTGCGCGTTCACTACGAAGGCCATGAGCGCATGCGGCGATGCTACGGATCGCTACGCTGCTTGACGGTCTGGAGGAGGACACGGTCCTTCTTGAGGATGGCCTCGAAGAGCGAGTCGGTCGTGCGCAGGATCGCCGGCGTCGTGTTGGACGACGCATGCGAGAGCGACTCGAGCAGCTTGTACGCGATGAAGCGGTGTTCGTTCAGGCAGACGTCCACGCGGTCCCGCATGCTGGCGCTGCTGTTGCCGGCCATGGGTTACCGGTGGAACAATGGGACACTACAAAACCGATATTTTATCTTTACTCGGAGATTGTATGTAAAGCTCGTTTTTTTATTCCAGGCAGTTTGTCCCAGGTGCGCTGCAAAATGGCTAAACGAACGCAATCGAAGGCATTGAAAAACCTCATTTACAATCCCCGCACTGGAAAGAGTTGCGTGTTTTGAGGCGATGATAGGCGCTTGGGTATATCCCACGGGGATATTTCACGATGGATTTGGTCTGCGGCAGCGGTGACCGCGTCCCGCTGCGGGAGGCCGCCGCCTACCTCCGCGCCCAGCGCGCATCCAGCGGCTCGTCCGTCAAATCGCTTCTCAACGGCGCTTCGCTCTCGGCTACGCCCGTGGCAGCAGGTAGTCTCGTGCAAATGATGGCGTGATGGCACGATCATGCGCCGTCGTATAGCCGTGGCCTCCAAGGAGAAGCAAACGTACTTGGCCAAGCGGCGCCAGTACCTGCAGCGGCGCCAAGAAGAAAAATCGTACAACCAGATGCTCGGCAAGCTCGAGCGCCCCAAGGCGGACTCGGACATGCAACGCGAGATGAAGTCGGTCTCGCAGCACCTCTCGATCGGCGCCAACATGATTGCCGGCATGGCGACGGCGTTCTTTGTCGCGTACTATGTTGCCCGCAGCGTTACGGACAACGAGACCTCGGTGCGCAATCCCTCGTCGGCCTCGCATCGTCATGCTGATGTGCATTTGTAGCGTCTTCTCTTGGGCCTCGCCGCCACGATTGCCATGATGGTCGTCGAGATGGTGCTCTACATCACGCGCTCGACCAAGCAGGAGGAGCTCGCGCGCCGGCAGCGAAAGAGCGAAGGCCGCAAGTAAGCGCAAACGGCGCTGTTTTGCATCATGTGGCCTTGTCGCACGGACTCATTCGATGCACTTGACGTCCAGGCGCACAGCTTGCAAGATAGAAGGAACGGGCGACTTTAGCATAGGCGCTGGACTGCTAGACGGGCAGGATCCAGCCCATGCGCCAACGGCGGTAGAGACTTGGGTGGCTGCGTGCTCGAGTCCTTGGAATGCTGTGTGAATTGTGTATTGTACTACGTCGTTGCAGTCATCATCGTCGCTTGGTCATACGAGGCGACGCTGGGAGTTGCGAGCTACCACCGTCTTGGGCCCGGGTCGGCAGCTAGCAACGCCTAGGACTGGCCAACCATCGCAAAGTGCTGCCTACCTCGGCGCTCTGTCCGCCACACTGACGCGTAGAATCTCGCTTGGTGCGCTACTTCATTGTACGGCATATGGCTTCCAAGATCGCTTGACGTCTGAGTCGAAGCCCGGGAGGATTCGAGCATCAAAGCGAATCTGAGGACGGCAGGCAGTCGAGACGACGCGGTGCAATGGCAACGGCACAAGCTGGCGCCGGCGGGTGACGCGACGCCTTCCTGCGTCTTGCGCGTCTCGGGAACCGCCGGCGCCTTTGCTCGCAACGCCTCGGATGCACGCGCGCGAATCTCGCCATCGCCTCTGCCCGACGTACTGGCTCCACGCGGTCTCTCCGGCTGCCACGTCACCATACAAACCTCCCATTATTTATAGAACGCGCTTTTCCGTAGTTCCATCAGCCATTCGGGGTCTTGGGCCATGGACCTCGGGAGCGTTGCGCACGGAATGCGGTCGGCGCGGTGCCGCATCACGGGCGCGAGCATCTGCCGGCGCAAGACCCGCGGCTTCCACTTCTCCGCCCACACGATCGTCTACCACGTCAAGGTCATTGCAACGAACGGCGACAAGTACGTCCTCGACTGGACCCACGACGACTTTGCGCAGCTGTACAAGCGACTCCAGGCGCTGGACGCGAGCCTGCGCGCGGCGATCGCGGCGTTCCCGTGCCCGAAGCGCACGCTCCTCTTTGGCCGCCATGACGCGCTGCGCATCAAGGGCATGTGCGGGCAGCTCGAGTGCCACCTCGTCGCAGTCCTCAAGATTGGCACGCAATATGCAGCGACGTCATGCGCGCTCCAAGCCGCCCTCGACGACTGCTTGCTCTGCGTGATTGCGTCGACAATGCAGCCCGCCAAAGACACCCACGTATTTAACTCGTCGCCGCAACCAGCTTGAAGCTAAACGGAC